CAAGCAGCCCAGGACCCCGGGGAGCAACCCCGCCGCGGCTGCGGCTTTGCTCCCGGTGCCCCTGGTCTGCTGGAGACGGTCCCCAGCAGACAAGGGGCACCGGGAGCAGCTTTTCTTGCCCCGGAGGTCGAGGTGGCGGACCGCTGCCTGCGAGCTCCGGGGCGAGAAAGCCCCGTTTGTAAGTGCGGATCCGACATAAGTCGGATCCGTGTAAGTCGGAGACTGCCTGTACATCTTTTGGGTACTTTGCTCCCGGTGCCCCTGGTCTGCTGGAGACGGTCCCCAGCAGACAAGGGGCACCGGGAGCAGCTTTTCTTGCCCCGGAGGTCGAGGTGGCGGACCGCTGCCTGCGAGCTCCGGGGCGAGAAAGCCCCGTTTGTAAGTGCGGATCCGACATAAGTCGGATCCGTGTAAGTCGGAGACTGCCTGTACATCTTTTGGGTAAGTATTCTCATAGAATAAACCATATGGCAGGACCAGAAAAATATGACAACAGAAAAGATATTTAAGGTAAGAGCCCTGATAAAAGATGTGTATAGAGTCTTTTGGAAAATGGTGTATCCTCAACTTTCTTGCATGAGGCACTTCTCATCTACATCAGGAGCTCAGCACCAGGCAGATTGAGTCCCTAAAGAGAGATTATATCATGATTCATTTTTTTGGTAAATTGTACTCTGACATGGCAGTTAGAATCTACAAAAATGTTAACAATTCACAATTCATTTTTTCTTTAGTCTTTTATTTCCTTTTTCTAGAGAGTTTTTGTATTTCTCAATTATTACACTTGGGGTCACAGGACAAGTGTAGATTTGGGAAGGAGAATTATTTTCACTTGATCTTTAAAAGAACTGTTCTGCTGTGGTAAACATAGGATGACTGCAAAGATGTACAAATAGCAGACTGCTCACACAACTTATTCTTATTACAAAGACATCTTATTCAGTCACAGAATCATGAGAGTAAGGGCCACACCATTCATATTTGACTAGCCAGATGTGATGGAGAATTCCAGTACTATTTGACAAAGAAGTGACTGTCCATTTCCTGCTGGTTATCTTCGTCGCATCCTCTTATGGTTGTGAAAAGAAACACAGAGGAGACTCAAAGGAAGTCCCTGTAATAACAATTCTACATTCATCTTCTTGAGTTAAAAATGAAACCCTTCCTGCTTGCTCTCCCATTTTCTTCATCCCCTGTGGCAGAATTCCTGTACCTTTATTTCATGAGGCTTTCCAGTGCTCCTTACTTTTTCTTTTTAACAACAGTCCTCCTCAGGACAACTTTGATTGTTCCCCAACTCAGCATATTTAAAAGAGAATAAATATAAAACAGCAGAAGGTACAGAATTCTGGACCACATTGGTAAATTAAAAATGCTGATTTTTATTTGTTCTTGAATATTTTCTTAATCCAGTATAATTCAAACTATGCTAATTCAAACACTGGCCCATACAATTGGTTTATAGGTTCTTTACATAAATGACCTTCATTTAATTGATAGTAACTCCCCTATCGATCTTTGGCTGCTTCTTCTTTAGGACCTTTTTAAAAATCTTGTATCTACCCCTGCTTGCACTGCAGAAGATTTCTTAAGACATCAGATGTTTTCTGTGGAGCACTCATATCTCATGAATCACAGGTTGTCTCTTTTTGGGGTAGGTGCTACATATGTTTGTGCATGATTCAGATACATAAATAATGCTTTCCAATAGGTCTTTTTCTTCTTTTAAACACACACAAAGATGTGCATGCAAAGTAGTAGAAAAAGAAGTTTCCAGAAGTGTGGCAATTTGAGATCTTGCAGTTGTCACTTGTACAGTATGAACAGATGTATAGAGGAAGCTTTAGCATAAACAGAGAAAAGGCTCAATTTTCTATCGAGTTAAAGTTGCCAGAGCACGATCTTTTGCACACATGCTGAAAACAGGAACATGTCTTCTCTCACAACCTGCAAACTAGCTATCTGAAAGACTGTCAGGTGGTTAAAGAAAATGCACACCTTTACACTTAGTTCAAGGGAGGCAATGTTTTAATCGCAGTCATAGTGATGAAAGGACTGGGAGGGCTCACCTTTCACACACAAACTTAAACACAACATAATGTCTCAGCTGCAATCCAAGCAATTTCCTGCTTCAGCATTCCTGACACACACACACTGTGCACAGCATACTTTAAAACATAACCAGCCTGCATGTACTTGTGCCATTTTATATTACAGATCCTTAAAACACAGCATTTTAGAATTCTCCCTCTAATCATGGAGACATCTTGGAAGACTCTTTGTCCCAGTGAATGGTAAGAATTCTACTGAATACATTTACTGGAAAAAAGCAGAAACTGAACTGAAATGAATTTTAAACAGCCCACTTATTCAATTAGTGCTATATTTCAAAGTCAGGCTCCCACATTTCAGAAAATGGTGTAAGACATGTTACAATGTAATTTTCCTTTCTTTTTTTTTGTTTATAGAAAATTGACATTATTTATTGCATGCATGTACAAATGAGATATAATCTCTCTCTCTCTCTCCATACACTTTAGGCTGAAGAAGGACATTTTGCTTTTTGAACAAGTATTTGAGAACTCTGCATAAATTGTGCCCATTTTCTCTGTATATATATTCAAATGCAGAGTCTGATTCACACACACACACACACACACACACACACACACACACACACACACTCCATACAAAACACTATAGGCCAGATGGAAAATCCTTTATTCTCATTCATAAGAGGGTACTCATACCACTACTCCCACTAATTTCATCATCAGTGAGAATGAGGTCCTATGCATTAAAGGTCCCCGTCTTGCAATCTGTGTTGTGCTCAGGTGAATGGGCACTGACTTCCATCTGAATTCATTGGGACACAATGACAGCACAAACATCCTCCTGCATGAATTGCATTGCAGGACCAGGGCTGTAGCTGCAAAGTTAAGCATGAAAAGTTAGTAACTGACAAGCTTGAATTTAAGTATGAAACCTAATATCTGCCCTCCTGGGGATATATTAGTTTTTAGTTACATGGCCATGGCCATTATTCCTCCATCTAATAATGCAATATTCTGTGTGCAGTATTGCTGTAGCCTTCCTGCCTCAAATACCTCCAAGAAAATGAACAATTCTTAGATATACACTCCAAACGCATCGCCAAACTCATCCATTTCAGTCTCACCCAGCAACACAACATTCAACAGCAAACACTAAGGGTACTAGCATGGCTCCCCCATATGCCACACATCTTGGGCTACCCTCAGGAAGAATTTATGCAAAAATGCACCAAAAAACAATGATACCCCTGATACACACCATTCTATATGGGAATCTTCCTTTGAACTCCTGCATACATTGCAATATCTCTTTCTTGATGTGTATCAAAAGCTTGTCTTGTTGTCTAAAATTAGGCACATTAAAAGTGGTCTTATTTTTACAAGAACTGAGCATCAAAGGTTACCGTTGATTTAATTAAGATTTTTGGGACTTCAATAGCTCTGAAGATCTGGCTCCTTATTTAGGTGCCTAAGCATACATGTCTATCTTTACACTAATCATTGACATTTTAAAAACTAATATTTGAGAAATTTGGCTATTGACATTGGATGATTTGTTCCCTTCTTTCCACGGTATGTGTCTCAATATTTTGGGGCTTGATCAGGACTGAGCTCCAGCAACTCTGGTCTTACTGCATCAGTTATGAAAGTAAAAAAATTGATTGAGCCCAGAGGTGAAACTAAGCCAGTATGCCTCGGTGCGCTGCTTTGGTAAGAACTGGCTGGGGTCTCCACTGCAGCAGGAGGTGGCAGGGCATGCTCCCTGCCAGGCTCCTAGGGCTCTCTCCTTCAGACTGCCGCACTCAGGAAAAGACACAGTCATATCCCAATCAAATTTCACCAGAACACCAGGCAATTCTGACAGGAGTATATTTCTATGTCAAATTTCAACTTCCTACATCTAGTTATTTTGGTTATAGAACTATTAATAAAAGTTTCTATTTGTTATTATTAAGGAAGGGGATGGAGGAAAGGAGTATTCTCCCTCTAATAAAAAATAGCAAACATTGTTCTTGCTCAAATTTAACAAATAACCAAAACCCCAGCCAACCAACTCTCTCTCTCTCTCTCTCAGACAGAGACCAAGCCTGGAGAAGTTTACTCCAAGAAATGAAAATTTCATAAAAGTCTGAACTAATGAATACAAGTGGTTAGAATGGAAATGTATCTAACTTTAATTACAGCTGTTTTGTGGCCTGTGTCTACTAATCTACCTAGCTATATGAGATTACCATAAAATACAAAGATTAGTCAATGTAAAAGTACTTGTATTTCATTTTCCCTGATAAAGGGCTGAAGGTAATGAAATAAAAATTGTATTTAATTATTAAAAATTAATACCACCACTCACCAAGGAATGTACAAAATAAACAGTGGTCACAATCAGGTGACCTAAGATATCAGGTAAATATATGCAGTTCACAACAGTTGAAAAGACATGGGCATGGCATGTAAATTAAGGTTGCTTCAAGTTATTGGGTTTGCCAACAAGCATAAGAACAACCGATATTACTTTGTCTGCTAAGTAACAAATAAATGCTGAAAATATGTGTATCTGTTCTGTTTCAAGCAGTGAAAACAAAATGTTTCCATAATGTATGCATTAACAGAGGATGCATTGCTATTTTACAGCACTCAAGGAAGGCTAGGAAAATGTGGGTATGTACATTAAGTGGTGTGGGGGGAGGGAGGAAAAAGCTGGATAGATATTCAACCAGAAACAGGCCTTATTAGGAGGGGTCTTGCATGGACCTGGCCATACTATGTCCCACATGCTGATTTTTTGAACAGACTTGTTGCCAAGATAAATTTTCTTTGTACTCTAGAATTTATAGGATGTGCTTGGCTTTCATCAGGAACACAGCAGTTTCTTCCTCATGCAAACAACTCAGCTTTAGCTAGGCAGGACATAAACAGAAAGAATGGTTCACTAATTATTTATATAAAAGTCAAAGATAGCTGCAATCTGTAAGTTTCATAGAATCTGGAAGCTGTTGGGTTTTTTTGGGTGTGTGCGTGTAGCTCACTTTATTTTTACTAAGTTCAGGGCTGCCTTGCAGAATACACTGAAAAGCGACTGGCTCTTCAAACACAGAAAGGTAATTTATGATTTTATTATTTTCCCCAATACTCAGATCTTTAATCATTTAGTTACATGTTGCATCAAGATTTTGTGACTGTTTATATAATGATATAATACTAATATAAAGCCTAATCCTGCAAATCTTACATATGTGAAGAGCCCTTACTCAATCAAATAGTCCCATTGATTTCATAGGATTGCTTGAATGTGTAAAGATTGTGCAAGTGATTGTAGGGTGGAGTCTAGTGGAATAGGATTCCATATGTAAAAAATGTGTTACCTTGGCACCGATCCTGCAAAGATGCATACAATAGCTTTACTGAAGTTAGTGTGGCCAGTTGTATGCTCCTAGAGTTTCACCAGTGTTTGAAGAATCAGAGCCTTAGTTATTTTGTTTCATAAATGATTCTCCCTCTTTTTATAAACAATCTGATCAAATGTCGGAGGGGGAAAGACATTTCCCAGAAATAGTGGTGAAGATTTAGCCACGCAAAAAAAAGAAAAAAAAAAAGGTGGGCGGAGGAAGGTTTCTTTTATCCTAAAGAATCACAGAACATTCTAAAAATTATACAGTGAGGATGTATATTCTATTCTCATTTCTTGCTGCTGCCACTAGAGGAAGTTGGATAGAAATAATACTACTAATAAAAGACATGCAAAATGGCACAAGGGGATCATTGAAAAGTTTTGGCATATTTACTATCATTTTCCTCTTCTCCTAAACGGAGCATTAAATGTCACCAACTCTGGACTGAAGTGTGGCACATGGGGGCACAACATATATGTTTAGGACAAGTGAAAAATAACACATCCAATTGAATCCCTTTTGTGCAAAAGGGCCAGTGTAGACAGCTCCAATTTGTTTTGCACAAAAAAGCCCCAATTGCAAAAATGGCGACTGGGGCTTTTTTGCGGAAAGCGCGTCTAGATTGGCACGGACGCTTTTCTGCAAAAAGTGCTTTTGCGGAAAAGCATCCGTGCCAATCTAGACGCTCTTTTCCGCAAATGCTTTTAACAGAAAACTTTTCTGTTAAAAGCATTTGCGGAAAATCATGCCAGTCTAGATGTAGCCGATACGTATAACAGAACTGAGATCATGTTTTTAGCAGTGTTTATGAGAGAGTTGTTAAGCAGTCTCCAGGTACCTCTTAACATCCCTCCATTACTCCTCCAAAATATTTAATTTCATCCCAATAACAAAAATATTGCCATCATCATGGCCCACTTGAGCAAATGTTAATCTTCCAAGAGTTCAACAGCTGTTGTAAATGTTCTGCACATCACTATTGATATCTGAGATTATCAATATTACTTTTCTTATTAATAAAATTGATAGCAATAAAACCTTGGCATTGGTAGGAATAAAGCCAAATGTACATTTCAATAATTAATTTTGTGGCTATAGCTACAGGGTATTCTCCTGGACAATATTGGGGAAGTTCTAACCATAGTTGACTCACAATAGGACTTGAGGTGCACCGCACACCTGTGTCCCTGCCAAAAATGTAATTGCTAATTGGAGTACTTCCACATTCCTCCTCACTGTGCCTCTTTGGTGGCCCTCCCTGCAGGCACCAATCAGCTCACTTATACATATATAATGAGAAAGCATTTTCACCTGGGAATGCCACCATGGATTCACTTGTGAAACAGCATGATGAGAAAGATGCTTTCTGTTGTATATTTTTCAAATCAAGATCTTGCTTTTCCTTGCACCAAATGAAGAAAAACACAACCAGCTTCTTTTCTCCCCAAAAGTATTCAATTACCTCCAAGTCCTGTAGTAAAAGCTCTAAATCACTGAGAACACTTGCCCTAGTTTGCAATTAGTAAGAATATCCCCTTTTAAATATGTCTTTGTACTCTGCCCCGGAAAAGGTAGGTTTACCCTTAATCAGCCAAGGTTTACCCTTAAAAAGCTTAGGGATTGCACAAATTAAAGTATATGCAGGTTATCTTCTTTGCTATAGGGGATATTCACCATTCTCTGTGTTTTTGTGGAGTAATAATGAGATACCATAACCAAACAGTAGAAGATGCATGTCAGATGGCTCTCCAATAACATTGTACGTGTGTGTGTGTGGCGGGGGGAGGGAGCAACTGATGTATGGAATATTGAAGGCAGATTAAGTTGTTAATGTATATTAGTATATTCTTAATTTCTTTTTAATTGAAAAAGACATATTGACTTTAATTAGAACCATTTCACAGGAACTGTCAATTAGCACATGTCAAAGTAGTTAATTCAGAACAGAATTGTTTTAATTAGGGTCTGCTTTCCTTTAACTGTGGGACCAATGAAATCAGCCTTTCCTTATCAAGGTTTTAAATGTCTCTAAGACATACAATACAAGTGTAGTCTCTTATCTATTATTAGAAGCCCATATGGATAACATTAAAATGATGGTGCTGGCATTGTTCATGCAGCACAAATCACAGTTTCCTTTATGACTATTTGAAAAAAAAGATGGCTTTGAACAAAGACCATTTTAAATACACAGATTTATTTTACTTTAAAGAGATTTGCAAATTTATGACATACATGTTCACATGAAAAGCATTATTTAATATGTCTGCTCAAATAAATGGGTCAAACATTTGGTGTGTTCTATCAGCCAAAGACACATAAAACATTCTCAAAGCATGCAGTAACATTTTCCCCTTAAATGAACTATAATCAAAAAGAGAAAACAGGCTAATTGATTATTTGGGCAATATAAACCCAGCATTGTTATCTTTCATAGCATGCAAAGATGTAACACTGCTTGCTAATACAGTGGCTGAAAACATTAATGAACAAATGTGATTTCAGTACTTAGACAATAATCTTGAGTCTTGACTTTCACAATATTGTTTTAAATGTGTCTGAGTTGATTGGTGTACCTTGATCCATAGCTAGTAAAAGTAAGGTCTCCATCTTGATCTACAAGCAGGTGCTGTGACTGTAGTATTGGTATGCCATCAGTAAAAGAACAACAGAGGAAAATACACCAAAAATTTAAAAATAATTAATGTGAAATCTAGATTTAGTTTTATTAAATGAGGATTAGCCACTGTGTTTTACTGACCTACATCAATTGAGGATTACAGGGATTACAGAAAGGAATACTTGATAGTTGGACTGTGGATTATAAAGAGGAATATCTGGTAAGATATTTTATGTTTCTGGATGCTTTATTGAACATATTAAGGGTCTAATTAACTCAATAATAATAGTAACATCATTTTCCAAAATGGAGTACAATATGTCTAAGAGATTAGCTTCTATGATGAGGTGACTGGCTCTGTGGATATGGAAAAGTCGGTGGATGTGATATACCTTGACTTTAGCAAAGCTTTTGATACGGTCTCCCACAATATTCTTGCCAGCAAGTTGAGGAAATAAAGATTGGATAAATGGACCGTAAGATGGATAGAAAGCTGGCTAGACTGTCATGTCCAATGGGTAGTGATTAATGGCTTGATGTCAGGTTGGTGGTTGATTTCTAGCAGAGTGCCCCAAGGATCGGTTCTAGGGCTGGTTTTGTTCAACATCTTTATTAATGACCTGGATGAAGGGATGGATTGTATCCTCAGCAAGTTTGCAGATGACACTAAGCTAGGGGAGGGATAGGGTCCAGAGCGACCTAGACAGATTAGAGGATTGGGCCAAAAGAAATCTGATGAGGTTCAACAAGGACAAGTGTAGAGTCCTGCACTTGGGACGGAAGAATCCTGAGCATTATTACAGGCTTGGGATCAAAGGGCTAAGTAGCAGTTTGGCAGAAAAGGACCTGGGGATTACAGTGGATGACAAGCTGGATATGAGTCAACAATGTGTGCTTGTAGCCAAGAAGGTGAATGGAATATTAGGTTGCATTAGGAGGAGCATTGCCAGCAGATCTAGAGAAGTGATTATTCCCCTTTATTCGGCTCTCGTGCGGCCACATCTGAAGTATTGCATCCAGTTCTGGGCCCCCCACTATAGAAAGGATGGGGACGCATTGGAGAGGATCCAGCGGAGGGCAACCAAAATGATTAGGGGGCTGGAGCACATGCCCTATGAGGCGAGGCTGAGGGATTTGGGTTTATTTAGTCTGCAGAAGAGAAGACTGAAAGGGGATTTGATAGTAGCCTTCAACTTCCTGAAGGGAGGCTCCAAAGAGGATGGAGAGAGGTTGTTCTCAGTAGTGACAGATGGCAGAACAAGGAGTACCATATTTTCCGGCGTATAGGGCGACTGGGTGTATAAGACGACCCCCTATCTTTTTAATTAAAAGATAGGGTTTCATCTTATACCCCAGCGCCCCTCCGCCTCCTTTGCTCCCGGTGTCCCTGGTCTGCTGGAGATGGTCCCCAGCAGACCAGAGGCACCGGGAGC